GTGAGACTTACTACTTATGCAAGTTCCTACCTTATTGAGAATAAGCGTTGTTACTTGGAATCAGTGCCGACGAGTCGACTTCCTCAACTTCTGCATGATGCTAAATCTGCCTTAAGTATTTGCACACTCAAGGGGGAGTGTTGTAAACATTCCTAGAATAAGTATGATTGTGTAAATCCTAGATTAGATTTGATTCTAGTTATCCTTTCCTATTACAACTTGTATTACTTGGAAGAGAAGGAATATCTTCTCTCCCTTTACTACTATAAATAAAGGTACAATGTAGGAGAGATAACAACACACACATTCCCCTACAATTCTACAAACACACATCTCTCTTCTCTCTCCCACTACCGCCGGCCCTCTCTATTTTGTCAGATAAAAATAGACCACAACAAAATGGGTATTAAATGGTTACGGTTAAATGGGTATGGTTAACCGTTTATAATCGGTTATGGGTATGGGTAAACGGTTATGCTGGTATGAGTATAAACGGTTATGGATAAATAACCGTGGTTATCTGCCACCATAACCGTTGCCCATCCCTACCCAGAAGTGGGGTTTGATTCCCTATGGCTTTACTTTGGAATTTTAATTTTTTTTGCATATTATAAATTTATTGAGCAAACAAATTTACACAAAAATATTCACCTTGTTTCGAATTCAAGACCCTTTGAAGATAGAAAAAAAAAGTCCTATAAAACAAACTTATTTTTTATTCCCTTATTTGTAATATTTCAATTTTATTGAATAAATTGAAAGTTAAGAAATAATATAAAAAAAATATACCGTTAGAAAATGAAGGCCCTTGTCTAAATTTTGCACAAGGCCCCTAAATTTTGCACAGGGCCCCTAAATTTTGCACAGCTTCCTCATAGATTTGAGGGTGCAAGGATCTTTGCTGGGCAATTATAATATACATCTGCCATGACATTGGATCATTGATACATGTTATCTACTGCACAGAGTATGCATGTAAAGTTGCATGGCAATTGGTACCTAGCTAGCCAATAAGGTTGCTCTGTGAGGACTTTTTACTGGTTTTTAATGAGGGATTAGTTTCATTTTTAATACGGATTATGATATTTTGTAGCGGTTCGACTGGCTACTGTTTATTTTAATTTGTACCCTTTAAGAGCACTCTCTATGATGTTCAGATTCGGAAATGCTTATTAATATGTTCTAATGTATGATGTCTCTCATTCTAAGTTCTTATTTATGATCCCACTAGAAACTACTTTTATTCTAGATAAGTTTAAAAAAAAAAAAAAAAAAAGTTCTTTGTTGATTGCATTTACTGTAAAGCTTGAGATAACGAGTGTTTCGTATTCTAAATTGTATATTTTTTCTTAAAAGCCGAATCGAAACCGTTTGAAACTACTCCAAACCAAATAAACAGTTTGGTTTCATTTCGGTTTGGCTTCAAAACTGCACTGAATTGAACCACAAAAAGTTTCAGTTTCAATTTTGAGTTTACTCAAAACCTCATTGAACCGAACCATGCCCACCCCTAACTTAAACTCGGAGCATATAGTGGTGAGCCCCAATCCCCAATTGCGATGGTGGTGGGCCTGAGCTTGGTCTCATATCAGTGATTCGTCCCCATATTTTTTATTTTCCACTCACCTCTAAGAGCTTTTCAGTTTGCTGCACCAAGTTTAAATTTGTCCCAAATTTATGCCTAATCCCTGACCCAAGCAACTACTTAGATCACCTTTCTTTGAGCATCACATGAGAACTCTCCTCTACCATCCCACTCCTCCGCCTACAAATCCCCAAATTGCCTGCTGGATTCTTGCTTTCGATTGAGAAGCCTCTATTGGCCACTGTGTTTGCTACCCACCTCGAGAGCGAGTAGTCTCTCACTTAAATAAGCTGTGCAAAACCGCTTTGAAGTTGGTTTGGGTCTATGCGCAGCCTCCTTCTACGATTTTGATGGTGTTTTGTCTTCTTGCTTTGTTGGCAGAAAATTATTCCCTTGTTGGTCCTCGGGTGGTGGAAGCGGTTGTTGGCTTTAGCTGCTTTTATCTTTTGTTGAGCTTTTTAGAGGCAAATTTATGTCTTCATTGTGCATCCTTGTAGTTGCTAAGTTAGGTATTAGATCTGTTAGTTTTGGTCTTGTTTGCATCTGTGGTTTTGTATTTTAGCCCTTGTGTTTTGTCGGTGCTGACCGCATATCGACTTACCCCGAAGTGCAAATTGGTGAGGTACATAGTGGTAATTGGGCCATCATGTGCTTTGCATAGGACTTTTTTTCCTAGGCTTACTAGCAGCTTTTATTTAATTTTATCACTTGTAACATTTACTTCCATCAATGAATGTTTGACGAAAAATGGTTTATGGATTTTAAGCGGGGTTTGTGTTATTAAGTTGTCAAATATTTTAAGTCTTTGGAAGTTGTCAAATATTTTAAGTCTTTCGATCTAAATTAATAGTCTTATGAGCAATATGAATTTGATCGTCATGTGTCCTCAAATGAAGACCTTAGGTAAGCATGTAGGAGCTAAGGTTATCAGCTTAAATCCTCCTTATTACACACTTAAACAAAATTCTAATCAATTAAAAAAAAAGAAAAAAACAGAGAAGAAGGTTGCAAACTGCAAAACCCATCATCCTCGTTTGCATATCTAAACAAACATAGAACTAATGAAACAGAGTGTAAAAACCCAACAATCCCAATTCCATAAAACTCCAATAACTTTGCAACTCATTTCAATCGAATACTTCTTCAAGACCTAGACAACCCAATTACACAATTCAACCAGTTTCAAATAAACGCAATCCCAATCCCACAAATTCAATGAAATTCAAAACTCAGCACACCAAAAAAAGATTGGGATTGCTGAGTTTTGAAAATTGCTTTGCTCTTTTGCATCACTAAATCCTATTGGACTGTGTAACGCCACATGTATCTTCCCAATACGTTGTCGTTGAACAGATGAACCGTATTTAATCTTCAGTTTAGAGTGGAGAAACATGAGATGGGTTGCCACCAAGGTATAAAATATCGATGATATCGGAAATATCGGTAGTCTAAAAACACGGAAATTTCGATGGAAATATCAGGATATTATCGATATCGGTAAAAATTGAATAAAAACCACGGAAATTGTAAGAAAAACTTGGAAATTTTTATTGAAACTATGCAGGATGTTTATTTAGTCAATTATCTATTAGTTTATCACAAAAAAATTGAAAGGAAATGCATTGCAGGATAGATATAACTAATTTAAGTTGATTATATAGCGAACTGGCAAACATTGTGAGTATAGAAAATATGTAGTAATTAATGAAAGAAGTTTAAACACACCATAATCATTTATATATAATGAATTAGTACAATATTTTACACTTTATACATTGCATGGTAAGATACATGAGTGATTTAGTAAGGTTTAAATATCGATGATATCAGAAATATCGGTAGTCCAAAAACACAGAAATTTCAATAGAAATATCGGGATATTATGAATATTTTAGACCATGGTTGCCACTGAATCTAATATATGAGTATGAGCCAAAAATCCAGTAGATACGAATCTAGTTACAAATCAAAAATCCAAATTGATACTTCCTCTTCTATAAATTGATAGAAGCCAGGTTTGTTGCAGAAATTAGATGACCAAAAAATAAACTCATTAAGTCTCGAATTTTAGTGCTTGCAAGTATACGATTCGGATGATAGTATAGCATATAAACACAGATATCATCCCACATAGATTGAATTGATCCAAGAAATCTTACTTACTATATTGAAACACATTATAATTGAGAAGCTTTAACGAAAAACATAGAAAATTTTGAATTAAAATGTAAATTAAATTAAGCATGAAACTAAACACATGGAAATAATAAAATTGAAAACATAAGATATGATATAGAGCTTCCGAATTCACCGTATACTTAATCCCCTTAATATGTTATGAACAAGTCTCCATATTAATGGTTGATTTTCCCTAAATTATTCAATGGCCATGTCATCTGAGTCATCAAAAGTATTCCTACGTGTCAATTCTCTATGGCATATAGACGAATTTAAACAAGTAAGAATCCATGTGCTACGAAAAAAGTGTTGGAGAATCACATAAACCTTCAAGTAGGAATTCATGGTATCGACTGTAAGAAGCTAAAACCCAAGATAAGTATGCATCTAATCTAACTTGCATCAAATCAACTTAATTAAAACCTAAACGATGATCAAGCATCTAAATAAAAACCAAGCACATAACAAATAACAAAGGATGCTCAATAAAGAAGAAAAACTTGATAATGAGAATGCCAAAAGAAAATTAAGTATTCATGATCAAGCCACATTGTAGCCTTAGCAAAGAAAAAAATTTGATCCCTTCCTCCTTGCCGCAACCTTCCTTTCCAATATGATGTGTTTGGTGGTTCCTTCCATCACAAGGATAATTAATCAATCTCCTTATATAAAACCTATGGCTAATGGGCTAGCAATTATGTAATTCAAATTCAACTTGGGCGAGAATCAAACTTAAGATTTAACACTTACCAGTGAAAATGAATACCGCTAAAACATAGTACTAAGTGGCAGGTACAATGGGGATCTTTTAGACTCACAAGTTTATTTATCCCTATATTAATCTAAGGGTCTGTATGAAATATGTCCTCACAGGTACTCAAAATGAGGACTTAAGGTGAGCACCATTGTACATTAAATATTCCTCTTTATTTTATAAGTTTGTACCCGTAAAAATATGCATACAAATACAATGATTCAATTTGAAAATCTTTTAGTTATTCATATGCATAAAACAAATAGATGATTTATCAGGAACATGCTACTTGTTCCAAAAAACTGTTGATTGATTAATACGTATGGATGACTAAACGATCACTAAATAAAATGATTTTTTGCAAGTATGAATTTTAAAATGATGATAAGGAGAATTAACAGTTCAAATTATAATATCCGTATTGTAAAGATACGCTAATTATAAAAGATGACAAGTAGGTTTCCCATTGGGGAAACACAAGTATTATCCTGATTTTTTTTTTGTGTTGTCAAACATTAGATTTTGTTAGATTAAACACCAGGTTTGAACCCACACTCTATACTCAACACTTTTTCACCATTGTGGTAAAGAGCCACTTTCCAAGTATTATCCTGATTTAATTACCTCAATATCTTCATCATATTTATTTACTAAATATTTTACGTTATATTAACTTATCAGTCTCCCCTGCAACAGAGAGATGGCAGCAACGGCGTCATTTAGGTGGATACTGCGGCTGCACAAGGACGTACCGAAAGCTGCTCGGTTCTATGCGCAAGGCTTGGACTTCACCGTCGATGTCTGTACTCTTCGCTGGGCGGAGCTGAAATCCGGCCCACTCAAACTCGCTCTCATGCAATCCCCCAAGTAATGCACACCACCTGTTTGATTATTTGCCTAGCAGACTTGTTTCTCACTGGGTTTTTCCTCTGATCCAAAAATGTTTTCACTTTTTGTGATTTAATTTTAAAATAATTACGTTTGTGGAATTTATCTGCAATTAAAAGAAGGGGGAGATGCTAAATTGCTAATTCAAGTTTGCAGTGATCATGTAATGCAGAAGGGAATGGGAAACTCTTCACTTCTGTCTTTCACAGTGACTGACATTAATCAATCAGTGACGAAATTAATGGCATTAGGCGCTGAACTAGATGGTCCTATCAAGTACGAAATCCTTGGCAAGGTGATGACCAAAATTCCAACAACAAATTTAATATAAACTTCAATTTTCTACTGTTGTTACGGTGGGTGCAATGTGTGACCTAATAATATCTCCTGTCCAGGTTGCGTCCATGCGCTGTATTGACGGGCACATGTTAGGCCTCTACGAACCTGCCTAGGAGCTTCATGTCTGATTTATGCAACTAGATGTAGGTAGGCTGCTTGAAGCATTTGTTATGGCATCTTGAAATCTTCCGTGCACGTAGAGAAGATGTGAGAGATTTTTCCTTTTCTCGGGTTCCCTTCAACTATCGACAGTGTTTGTTCGTCCAAGTCTATCACGGCCGTGCATAGTGTATAAAGCAATGGACCTGGAAACTCGGCATGCAGTGTTACCACGAGTGTTTTGGAGGGAAGGAAAAAAAAAGGTTTTAGTTTATGTTCTAGATTACCTATCATGTAGATTGGATATTTCGGGTCATCCGTATCTCCTAGGAGAGATAGGAAATTGTCTTTCGATCTTTTACGTAGCGCAGCTGCTCTGCTTTGCCTTGCTATTGAGTTTTCATCTAGCAACTTCATTGAAACAACATGATTTACTTTGTAAGAACTGAAGAAGGTTGAACCATCAGTTTTATAATCTTTGGTGACCCTTCTGTGTGCTAGAATCTACTGCATTACACTGCCGATGCAAGTAAATAAGCTGAGGTTCAAAACATAGCTTCAAGCAATTCTTACCTGATTAACTTGGAGATGGAGATACATGTTTGCATGGAAGAATGGTGTTGCTCCAACCTCATAAATCGAAACCCGTTTTCTTGAAGCAGTTTCTACGTTCATAATTTTGCGTGTCCTCGTCTCGATCAAATTGTAACTATGTCCAACAGATACTTCTGATGATTTAATTCTCTGAAAGTGCAATCCACACTATTAAAACCTCGGATAATCAAGTGAACATGGTTTTGCAAAGAGCACTCAGACTAATGCGTCTTACACATAATGCGTCGTCGATGCTTGATGCTTCAAGGAGGTCCCGTGAAACAAAGTTCCTCCCAATGCCTCCGGCAACAATCTCATTTTCCGACGGGGGAACTGAATTCAGCGTAAAAGCCTGCAGTTTACGCATTCGTTTTTCTTTAGTACGAACAATTTTATTTAACTGATGCTGGAACAATTTGTTTCGGTCATTTCTTACCAGTCCATGAGTGTTGAGCCCAAATGCACAGCTAGGGAGCTCTCCTGCATAAGTGTAAGCCATGAATGATATCCCATTTGACAGAGTCCCCTTTATCAAGTAGCTGCAAAATTTCGAAAATCTCATTAGCTTTGCTGCTGCAATTTCCATTTCTTTTGGATAAATAGTTTGCTGAGATTTTAGAAGTGCAAGAGAGCATACGTGTGGCCAACCAGGGCAACATTTGCATCCTCATTGTGTGCCACAACTGCCATGGAATCACTAACAACAAGAACATCCGAGCAGTCATCCAGCGTATCAATATTCTGATTCATCGCCGTGGTCTTTGGGAGAAGCGGAAGAATCTCCTTTCTGAAGTTGATTAGTATTATCTGCACACATGATAATCAAACAATCATAATGCCACCAATAGAATTAATGGGACAATTAAAATGCTACCGACACTCCAAAATAGTCATTTTTACTCTTTCCATGAAAATACAGGTACAATTACCCAGCGAAAAAAAAAAAGAGATGAAAGAGTTGGAGAATAAGTGCATAACGAATATTTTGGAGCACCAGTAACTACTTTTATCCTCAGAACTCGCCCAAGTGTGTATTGTTATTACATCAAGAACTGGAACTCCACTTCCATCCGCAGTGCCAACGAGCTCCTCCCAATATCTCGGAAACTTGTTTCGGTTATTTTCTGTTAGAGACTGGAGAAGTGGCTGAAACTCTGGGGTTTGAGCAAAGGGGAGGAGTTGGTTGTGAAGAATGAGGTCTGAGGCCAGCCTGCTCTTTATCATGTCTGAAAATCTCTGGCCAATTAGGAATCCCATTGTGTAAGCATCTTCACAGGGTCCAACTTCAAACATCTCCAACCCTAGTTTTGCAGAGCTCCCCATTTTTCCGCTTCATGCAAAAGACGATTTTGGGAGGAGATAGCAAGTAGCTAGGGCCTTATCTTCTTTGATTTTCAACCCCCCACGTCGTTTGTTGGCTTTGCAGTTCCATTGTCGTATATTTTCTTTCCTTGTCGTACAGTCACCGTGTAGAAACGACATTCATTTAGGACAGTAGTTTTAGTGTGGAAAAGTACAACAAAAGCGTTATTGAGAAAACAAGAGAATCAAAATGTGGTTTCGATTAATAAATAATTTCATATTTTTCGTAAATCAATGAATACCTTATTTGCAGGATCTGGATCCTCTCCTGAGCTAATGGAGAGGATCCTCCTGATCAGTTATCATGAACCATTGGATTTTTATCCAACAGCTATAAATAAGGGGTTCCTTTAAAGTTATAATAATTATAACCGTTGGATAAAAAACCAACGGCCCATGATAACTGGTCAGTAGGATCCTCTCCATTAGCTCAAGAGAGGATCCAAATCCTTATTTGCAAACACCAGATCACTTAGAACAATATTTTTCCTCTTCAACTATAAATTCAGTAGTGGCCAAATTATTTCTTTATTGCCGTACGCGTTCCTATGTAGCCAAAGCTGATGACTTAATTCTAGTATCAATGAAGTTTCCCATGAGAACTCTCGAGTGATAAGACCAAATGATGAGCATTTCTAGTGTCAAAGGCTTTTGTTTCAGCCATCAGCAAGGGAAAAGTACAGTCTATAGCAAAGTATAAGATCTTGAGCCTCTCGATTAAGTTGACTACTTTCAAACAACACACTCACCAATCTACCCAGGATCATACGTCAACGAATTCATGGGATTAATGTGACTCGACGGACATGTCCAAGACCTCATGACCGAGGCAAACATGGTACATGCTAAATGCCGTACTGTTAGTGCATATCGATTGTAATTGGCATTTTCCTATCCTAAATCTTTATGATAAAGTTGAGTTTTAGATGTTAGGATTGGTTCTTTCAAGTTGTTGTAGATCGCACTAGGAAAAGAAAAAAAAAAGAACCTTTCTAGACGAAATAACTTTGTTGGGCCAAATATGTTTTCATCACTCTAATTTTGCCCGACAACATTCCGTCAGACAAAGTTCATCGCTCAAAACTCGTCGCTCAAATGCTTGCCTGAAGAAATTTTAGTATTTGTCTGGCAAATGGTGTTTGCTCGACAAAATAATATCATCGAGCAAATAGTGTTGACTGACTTGATCCGACGAATGAAACTTACCCGACACCATTATTAATTTCGACAGGTTTTTGAAAATTAAAAAATATTGGTTTCGACGAATTATTCATCGGCCAATTAATTTAAAGATAAAATATAAAAAAATACAAGAAATACATGCTCAATGAATGTATTCTCGAGCAAAGTGTTTAAATATTTTTTAAAATTTTGAAATTAAAACAATATTTATTTAAATAAATAAATAAATTCTAATTATATTAACCTAAAATGTTAAAATAAATCACAATATTAAAGAAATTTATTTATTTATAACAACTACCAAACCTTATTCTACTAAGTGGGCTTGATTGTTGTTAATTATATTAAAAATAAAATATTTGTACAATTGTATGTAAAACTACTAAACTAATTACGACTATTTGGGTAGCTGGTGGGTTAGCGGCTGAAAGTAGGTCAGAGGATCGTGTAGGCGAATGATAGAAGTTGACATTGCGTGGGCTATCCCAAAATGTACCGTAAAAGGCCCTTATCTCGTTGGCGCACGTCTACTTCCCAAGCTTCACTAGTACAAAAAACAATTTGCACGACACAAATACTTTCGTTGAGCAAAGTCAAAAAACGATGCCAAAAAATTAGCCCAATGATATCTTCGTCGCACGCAAACCGTCATGCAAAGGTCGTGAAAGTAAGGTATACACAACGTAGGTACCTACGTCGCACAAAAGGTCTTTGCGCAACGCAAGTTATTTCTTCATCACACAAACCCTTTTTTGTTTTTGACAAATATTTTCCATTTAATTTTTAAAAAATATTGTAATTAAATTATAAACAATAATTAATAAACCAAGAAAAAGTATTTAATTATAAAATATATGAAAATGTACATACAAGATGTCTGAACATAAAAGAAAAACTACAACAAGTAGTCGTCTAGGTTTGATGCATCGGCAAAGTGCCTAGAAGGTCGAAAGTGAAATAAGATCAGGTACTGGCATCGAGATTTGGAAGCCGAACATATGTAAGGCCCGTAAGATCATACTCATTTTCTCGTCCTGGATCGAAAACTAGGCTGCAATCTGGGCTTTCCAGGTTGCAATCTTACCCTTTAGGGTTTCCAAGGCACTCGTCTCACAAACCCGCGCCTTCCCCATACCCCAAACAACCTTGCCATGACGACGACCGAGCTTCTAATCCAAGATCTTAGTCACGATCTGAAGATCTGCATCCTCGGGTACAGTGACGTCCTCGATTGGGGTCTCCAGGGGAAGTTGTGATGCTGCTTCTTAGAGAAAGAAATAAGTGCAAGAAACGACGGAGAATTCTGCACCTTAAGAAAATAACAATCTAGAACGCTTATAAAGAGAGAAACTCTCATTGCAGGGAGGAGAAGATACCAACCAAGGTGGATTATTAGACTCTTACATCCTGGACCCACACCCGCCCCCCAAAAAAAAACACGACCTTCTCCACCCTAAGACCATCTCCAACCGAGGGCTGGCCAGAGGGCTCGTTTTAGCCCTCTGGCCCTCCAAGATATTAATATTTTAATGAACAGTACAATGTCATATTTGCCTCCGTCTCCAACCGAGGGTCAAAGGACCATAAGGCTCGTTTTAGCCCTATCACAAAAAATCGTCTCCAACCGTGGGCTAAGGGGTCAAACATAATTTATTATTTAAATTTAAAACTACAACTTAAATTCAAAAACTACAACTTATATTTAAAAACTACAACTTAAATTTAAAAACGACGAATTAAATTTAAAAACTTCAAATTAAATTTTAAAACTAAAAATAAAATTTAAAAACAACATTAACTTGAATTTAAAAACTACAACTTAAATTCAAATCCTACAGCTAAGTGACGTCAGCTAGCCGTTGGATTTGAATTTTTTTTTTTTTTTTTTTTTTTGCTATAATGGCTTAGGAAGTTATAGGAAAAAAATATAATTTAAAAAAATGAAACAAATTTTGTATAATAGAAGTTATAGGAAAAAAATATAATTTAAAAAATATATATAAAACAAATTTTGTGAAATAGAAGTTATAGGATAAAAATAGAATTTAAAATAAAATAAAACAAATTTTGTGAAATAGAAGTTATAGGAAAAAAATAGAATTTAAAATAAAGTAAAACAAATTTTGTGAAATAGAAGCTATAGAAAAAATGGAATTTAAAAACAATATGAAACAAATTTTGTAAAATAAAAGTTATAAGAAAAAAATAGAATTTAAAAAAAATATGAAAAATAGTAGTTATAGGGAAAATTTTGTAAATAAAAAATAATAATAAAACTGTCAAAAAAAAAAAATTCAAATGCAACGGTTAGCTGACGTCAGCTAACCGTTGCATTTGAATTTTTTTCTTAAGCATTCCTGTAGGTTATAACCGACAGGAAAGATGATTTTTCTGGCCAGCTTCGGGCTGGCTGGCTGGCTGCATACAACCAGCCCTCCAGCCCTCTTCGATTCCATGGGGCCCTCTCAGGTTCCACAGCCCTCTGGCCTAACCCTCAGTTGGAGATGGTTTTCGGGCTATTTTTAGCCCTCTGGCCCTCTGGACCCTTCGATTGGAGATGGCCTAACCCACTCTGCCCTTCTCAACCCCAAAAAAGATACAAAAAATAAATGTAAGGTGTGTATAGTGTGTGTGTGTGTGTGTGTGTAAAGAAAGATAGAGCAAACAAGGAGAAATGTTAAGAAAATATTTGGATAATCCTCTGCAGTTCCCTTGCCAATGTTCTGTGCTTCAAAAACATATCGATAAAGGCCAATCTCAAGTTTTTAACTTCATTTTTAAAGTCAATTGATGTCTTCTGCCTACTTGTGCCTATCAAAAGGGGCAGTATACAGAATATATGAGGAGTAAGTTTCAAAGGAACTAGATCATAACACATGACATTTGAAAGACATTTAATCTAAACTCTCACCATCTTCTAGAAGCTCTTTCTCAAGTGCATCATACAATGCATCCTTCCTTGCATTTGAAACTAATCAATTAGCAGCCAAAGTAATATCATATCCTTTCTTGCATTTGTTCACATATATATAAAGCAGTATTGCAAAGGTAGAAACAATACTAATTCAAAAGTAGTTTTTGTTGGTCAATTCCAAACACATGTTTTACTTGAAATAGCTGAAACAATAAATATAAAAATATACACACGTGTATAGTTTCATATCCTTTCTTGGCAACGGCAAATCAAAAGGACACTTAACAAAAGTGAAGAACCTTACCCCCAATCCCTGAATTAAGCTAATCAAATACCAATTAAACTCTAACAACCTCAATTAAGCCAAAGAACATGAAAAGGATGTACTACCAAAGCCGATGGGATTATCATATAACTCTCAAACTCCGTGGATGGCTATTTGAAGGTTCTAGATTTTAGTTGGGAAGAAAATTGTTAAACAAAGCAATCAAAATTTTAAGCCAACATTAAAAGCCAATAACGTATACGATTTTGAAATAATATACAGGGCAGGCAAAACAAACCCATTAGAAAACCTTAGTGCAACACATTTAACTTTCATACGAAATTCCATTAGACTGTATAATCCACTTACATATGAAATATAATAATATTCTAAAAGCATTCAATCAAGTGAAAATGAACATAAAAGCATTCAATCATCTGATTATTTTCACTTCCAACTTGCTCAGCAACCAAACAGGAAATTGAATACGTTGTCAAACAAGGTTAGAAAATGGCATCATATTTTTTATTGTGCACCAACAGAAAAGGGTAAGGGAGGTCGCACTTGGTGCGATGGCAAGTGCCTTCGCCCATGAGCGGTAGGTCTCGGGTTCGAGACTTGGGAGCAGCCTCTCCATAAATGGGGGTAAGGCTAGCCGACATTCACCTCTTCCAGACCCTGCGTAAAGCGAGAGCCTTGTGCACTGGTACGACCTTTTACCAACAGAAAAGGGTAAGCATTATGTCTTGGGCACGTTGTGCTCAGTTTTACCAAACACGGG